AGCTTTGATGGATAAAATTATGATATGTAGACTATTGCATGAAAATCTTTTTAATAGTTCTAAGTTGTCATCGAAGTAGTTAATATCCCACCCTGCAGTTGCCTAGCAACCCCAGAGGTTTTTATCCCCTCTGCTCCAGTTTAAAAAAAATGCTAGTGAGGAAGAGAAGCAAGCAGATGGCATACCATTTGCCTTATGAATCATCTATTCCTTCTCAAGAGCTTGCATTTGTACATGACAAATAATAGACCCAAATGAATTCTGTACAGTGTAATCACATTATATTACATACCTACATATCCATCATGTTATTCCCTTTGAGAGTAAACAGGACTATGCAAAGTGCCAAAAGGGAATAGGAAATTGTCAATCAAAGAAACTAAAGGTGTGAAATAAGAAAAAGTAAAGGACACCTTGTTTATACCAAGAGCATTCATTATAACTTGCCGTACCTCTCTATTGTGCAATGGCCTGCCTTCAGAAGTTGTGGAGGCTTTTAAGAAGAGACTGGATAGCTGCTTGTCTGAAATGCTATAGGGCAGAGGTAGGCAACCTTGGCTCTTTTATGACTCGTGGACTTCAACTCCCAGAATTCCTGAGCCAGCATGGCTGGCTTAGGAATTCTGGGAGTTGAAGTCCACGAGTCATAAAAGAGCCAAGGTTGCCTACTCTTGCTATAGGGTCTCCTGCTTGTGCAGGGATTGCACTAGAAGTCCCTTCCAACTCTGTTATTCTGTTATATTGTTATATATCCCTGCTAAACCCATATTTTGATTCATATGCTTCTTTTGTTCTTTAAATTTCTCATTTCTTTCTTTACTTAATAGAAGCACAATTTACTTGATACTTCTCTCCTTTGTATATTTATTTTGCAATTTGATGCACATTCCTTTTCTTTTGATATCCAGAGAGTCTCAATGTACTGGTCACTCACATTTGTATTCAATGCACATTCATTCATCAACCATTCATTCTTGACCTTCTCTCTAGTTTACTATCCTACTCACACTTCATTCATCATTTTCTCCTATTTCTCCTGTCATAACTAATTCTTATATACTGCTATTTTCACCTATTTTAAATAAATATTTGTTTTTACAACATAGCCACTTACTATCCATTTCTGTTCTATCAATACTTGCAAATCATGACATTTCTTCATAGGTGTCCCAATCTTTATTGAACATTCTACTAAGGTACCAAATCCTTCTAATTGCCTTAGGTTTTAGCACATTTATGTATAATTTAGTATTCATTCTCAAATATCAGTACCTTGATCTTCAAAAAATTTAAATGCTGCTATACAATCTATCAAACATTCAATGCAAAGTATCTGGTTTCTCAGTCAAACCCAGTATAATCTATATACAAAGTTATATACAGTATATATTCATGCCCAGCCAATAAACATTCCTTATAAATTTATTCATGGCTTCATTAAAAAAACCAAGTGAATAATTCTTACTTTCCTCACCCTCTGCTGTCTGTAAAACCATTATTCCATTTATTTTCACACATTTTTTACTTCCATCACATACTGTTTATGTTTAACAATCAATTTTCATGGTAAGTTATATTTAGAGCTCAGTAAGAGTTAAATGTAAATTTAATATTAAATTTAGAATTAAGGATAGTTTATATGGTTAATTGTAAGTAAATCTTGGGATTTATGCAGTGGTGGGATTCAAATATGTGAACAACCGGTTCTCTGTGCGGATGCCGCTTCCAGAAGTCCATTCTGAGTCCAGGCAACAAAAAATTAGCTACCGGTTCTGCTGAACTGGTGCGAACTGGCTGAATCCCACCACTGGATTTATGGTTAGGAAAATATTTGTGTTGGAACTACAGTTACATTAGGTTAAATTAGAATTAATATATTTTGGTTAGATGTAGAGTTAGGGTTCACATTAGGGCTGATTTTTATGGCTACTGATAATCTTAAATTCATATTACAAATAAGATCTAGGATAGTTAGTGTAGATATTTCTTTTGAGTTAGCCTTAATCTAGAACTAAATTTTTCAATAAACTTCCATTGTCAGATTCATTCATTGCTCAGTGATTTACTAATGACCATAAATATAATTTATGTACAACCTATCGGGTATGTGTTTCATCAACAATTTCTTGTACAGATTGTTCTTGACTTACAACAATTCATTTAGTGACCGTTCAAAGTTACAGTGGCACTGACTTAGACTATTTTTCATATGTATAACCAATTCAGCATCCCCATGGTCATGTGATCAAAATTCAGACAATCTGAATCTCCTTCTGCAACCTTCTGACAAGCAAAGTCAATGAGGAAGCTAGATTCATTTAACAGTTGTGTTACTAACTTAACATTTGCAGCTGTGGCAAGAAAAGTCATAAAATGGAGCAAAATTCACTTAACAAATGTCTCACTTAGTAACAGAAATTTTGGGCTCAATTGTAGTAATAAGTCAAGACTACTTGTAGATATTTATAGCAGTTATTTTCATATCAGTCTTCCACATGCCACTATTGTTCCTATATCTCTAAAGGTCTCTTTCCAGCATTTTCTCCTTTTAGTTTCATCCCAAATCATTTCACCTCTTTTAAATTGTCTGTGCTAGAGATTCCTTTTTAAAATTCTTTACCCATTTCCAAAATAAAATTTAATTTCCATCAAAATGTCGTTCAGTATTCTTTATTTTAATTTTAACCATATTTTTCTTTCCTTGTCTATGATCTGCCTGTACATGTTTTTCGAACTTGGCAACTTTAAGATTCTGCCTGGGGAATTCTACTGATCTAAAGATTAAGATTCTGCCTGGGGAAATCTACTGATCTAAAAGTTGCCAAGTTTGAAACCTTTCTCTATACATACAATGCTTTTTCTTTGCCTTCAACTTCTTTCTTTATTAGTGCAATTGTCTGTCTGTTCATCCACCACTGATGGTTTCAGTGTCCCAGGATCATGTAATCACCTTTTGTGACCTTCTGACGAATAAAGTCATTGGAGAAACCATAGTCACTTCTTCACAACCAAATTCTACCTTAATAAATGTGGTGATTGATTTAACAACTGTAACAAGAAATGTAAAATGGGGCAAAACTCATTTAACAACTCTCTTGTATAGCAATGGAAATTTTGGGCTCTAGTTATAGTTGCCCCTCACTAACTTACTAAAAACGAAGGGAGCATCCTCAGTAAAACCTAGCCAGCCACTAACATGGACAATGGAGTGCCAAGCAGCATTTGAGAGACTAAAGAGACTTTTTTCTGCCGAACCAGTACTAAGGCACCCAGACATGGACAAGCCCTGTCATAGGCTGAGGACTACTGTATGCCACAACGTAACAAAACTGAGTTTTGCCACAGGATGCTGACACTATGCTAGGCAACCTAGACTCTCAATTTTGGAGGCTTTCTTGTAAGCCAGCATCTCAACATCATCAACTTGGAGACATATACACTATTCTAGATAGGCACACACTCAGGATACAGCATATAATGTGATTTTACATTTTGTTATGCTATTTTATAACTAGAAGAATATCACTTTATTCATTTTGCTATTGATAAAATAATAAATTAAATAAATCTGACATTCATCTTTCCTCTGTAATTTCATTAGAGTGGAAGAATAAATTTTAAAAAATGAAATTATAGCCGAATGTCTCTTTTCTGACCCATGATAAAATATTGACAGAAACATTTTACACTTGAAACTATAAATCTACAGATCTAAATAAAAATATGCATGAGCAGTAGGCCAGTGTAGATAGACGTCTGATTTAAGCTATGAAATTCATTTTAAAAAATAGGTAAGGCTGAAAAAGGAACAAAAATTGAATAGAAGTTCACGTGTTTTTGTACATTTTGACAGATAACATCAATGTTTGATCTATATATGTATTTTTCATTTGATGTCTTCAGAAATTTTAATTCAGATTTACATTTAAGCTACCATATTTTATCTTCTGTTTATGATGTATAATCTAAATGCTAAACTGGATATTGTTTAACCTCATCTGCAAATGTGTAGAGCTTTGTATTGTATATGATTATGTGTAAATAAATCTGGAGACAAAATTGCAGGTAGGTCTCAACTTATAACAGTTCACTTAGTGAACATTCGAAGTTACAACGGCACTGAAAAAAGTGACTTATGACAATTTTTCAAACTTATGACCATTGCAGCATCTCCATGGTCATGCGATTTACATTCAGATGCTTGACAACTGACTCACATTTATGACGGTTGCAGTGTCCCAGAGTCATGTGATCCCCTTTTGCGACCTTCTGACAAGCAAAGTCAACAGGGAAACCAGATTCACTTAGCAGCGGTGTTACTAATTTAACAACTGCCATGATTCACTTAACAAATGTGGCAAGAAAAGTCATAAAATGGGCAAACTCACTTAACAAATTTTTCACTTAGCAACATAAATTTTGGGCTCAATTGTGGTCGTAGGTTGAGGACTACCTATATGGAGAGATGGCTAATTTATTTTCCCCAGAAGTTGGTGTGCTTCAGTTCCCAGTATCCTTGTAATTGGCTATGCTGAATAGAGATGATGGGAATTGGGATTCAACAAAAACTTGAGACTCATGTGGTGTTTATCTCTGGACTAAACTGTTGAAATATCAACTTGTTCTAAATCCTTTTTCGTGTTGTGCAATAGAATGACACATAGGCAGGATTTGTAGGAGTAATAGCTTTAGTTTCCAGTGTTTCTTCTGCAGTTTATATTTTAAAAAATATCTTGTGCCAGTTTTACAAATTAGCAAACAACAAATAAAGTTGAAGAACCTGCAGCTCAGAGTTAACCCAGGATGCTTCTTCATGTGGGTTGATTCTCTCTGTATGGAGGGAATGGCTACTTTGAGGAGATGAATTTAAAGACAGAAGGGTGCTTTGCAAAGTTATTGCTAAGAAGTCTCCTGAGGGATGGTCTGGCTCTTTAGCTGAATTAGGATCCTACTTTTCTAAATAATAATGTATTAACCAGCAATATTCTGTTTCAATTCAGAATACACTGTATTTAATGAAAACGGCAAAGATCAGAACATCATTAGGCAAAGTGAGAGCCTCGGAACAAAAACAACTGAATTCATGCGAACTAATTTATAAAGCAAGTATGAAAATTTTTCTCTGTTTTCATTTCTAACAGTTCAAAGTTAAAATGTTTTGGGAGGGTCTAGAAATTTTCAAACCTCCTTCCCATCTCCTGTCTGCGATTCTTGAGGAACTTTATGTTAACATTTTCTCATTCTTGCAGCGATTGTTCTACTTATGCTTTTTATAAGAGAGATCATATTTCTGCTATGAATGTAGGCAGTATATCCCTTAATCATAAGTAAGCTTCAGTAACATGCATACTTTTGCAATGCAAATAAATATAAATTTGATACTTGCAGCTTCATTGTTTATATTAAGATCCCTTAGGCAAAAGGAACATACTGAATGGTTAAAATGAGGTGAGCATATTGGTTTCAATGCTGCTGGACATATTTGTTGCCTCTGAGCAAATTTCCCAAAAGATAGAATTCTCTCTCTTAGGAGACCATCCAGGAAAATATTCCTAAATCAGCAAGAATGCATATTCAGATATAAACATATTTTCACACAACTCCCCCCAAAAAATAAAAATATGTCCTATGACAGAATCTTGTTGGACATCTCTCCAAAACCAACAATTTAATGGCCACACTAGATACCCATAAAAATTGATTATACTATTTAATGGCTGAACTGACATGCCATTAAATCGATGGGCAGGCTTGGTGTTACTAGCTGATATTTGCTAGTTATGCTTAATTTTTTCTTTTCAACAACTTTCTCTTGATCTTTTTAGGAATAGAGATGTGATTTTCAACTCAGAACATCAACCTTATTAAATTTGATGTACTAATTTGGATTTTTCAGAGTTATATTTGTCTTGGGTAGATATTTTATTTTGGTGATCTTTTGCTAAGAATAGCAAAAGATGCTGGTTTTTTGCATTTTCATGAATATATTTATTTATTTATTTATTAAATTTATAATGCTGTATGTGTATGTATGTATGTGTATGTGTGTGTATGTGTGTATATATATATATATATATATATATATATATATATATATATATATATATATATATATATTCTGAGGTTTTCGCGGGTATTTGTATGTAGGTCTTTGGTTGTTCGGGTTTTCTCCCGCGTAAAATTGGAAGTGTCTTGGCGACGTTTCGACGAAGTCCCATTCGTCATCTTCAGGCTGGTGTTTTCAGCTTCGTGCTTTGAGCAGCAATGTGTGGTCTTAGCTGTTTCTTCCTTTTAACTGCCAGTGGGGGTATGAACTGATTGGGTGGGAGCTTGGCTGTGTTCTGATTGGGTGGAGGTGTGTTCTGAATGGTTAGGGGCTTGGCTGTGCTCTGATTGGCTGGGGGAGTGTTCTGTTTGGTTGTGCTCAGGTTAGTCTGAGTTGCAGAGGGGTTTAAGATTTTGGGCTGCCTTGCTATTTTTTGGCTTTGCGTTTTAACCCCCACTGGCAGTTAAAAGGAAGAAACAGCTAAGACCACACATTGCTGCTCAAAGCACGAAGCTGAAAACACCAGCCTGAAGATGACGAATGGGACTTCGTCGAAACGTCGCCAAGACACTTCCAATTTTACGCGGGAGAAAACCCGAACAACCAAAGACCTACATATTATATATTTTTATATGGTGTAGCAGATATATATATATATATCTATATATATATATATATAATATATATATATATATATATATTATATATCTATATATATATATATATATATATGATAGGAAATAAAATGATCACCAGGGTAGTAAAACTATAAAATTTATTAAAAAGTGCCTAGCTTTCGCCGTCACCTGCCGGCAGCCTCAGGGCTAGTGCGCCAGGGAGTGGGAGGGTCATTCTTATAGGTGTGGTGAGGTCTGCGCACGACTCCTCGACCTCGTCATCGGGCCTAAATAGGATAACTGCGTGCGGCTGGTCTGTTCCTTTCTATTCATCTCAACCGCCCGTTCATCCTCCTCCATCCTTCTCTCCCTCAATCTTGAGGTGGGCGGGCAAATGTCTCTATGGTTGCAACAGTCTCTATATTTGAGCTCTTTTCCCTCGGGGGTAGATGGCAGTGTGCATTTCGTGTTTCTTTTACAGTCCTCCTTCGGTCCATCGTTCTTCCTATGGCAAGTTTTTTGTTGTTGAATTTTGGTATTTTTGTTTCTTATACAGGTATCATTTAAGTGATCACATAGGTCCTTTCGAGGTAGTTGTAATTCGTTAACGGTCTGGGGCTGGAGGGGGGGACCTTTCGAATGTGGAGGGGGGAGTAGTGATTCTTCAATTGTCCCTGTGTGTAGTCGCTTTGTGCGCGCTGCGCCCTCCCTATTCACTTCCATCCCGCAAGAACTTGCCATTGCGGTCTTGAGGGATCGACTGAATCAGGGAGACCAAGGATTACACCAAGACTCCCTTCGAACGGAAGACCTTATAAAATTAATGGGGGTCTGCCTTAACACTTATTTCACCTTTCAGGGCACGACATATGAACAGATTAAGGGAACTCCCATGGGGTCGCCGATCTCCAGCGTGATCGCAGAGGTGGTGCTCCAGCGACTGGAACACATAGCGTTGGCCCAATACCAACCAAAATTTTGGGCCCGCTATGTGGACGATACGTTTGTGGTCATCAAGGAGTGGCACAAGACTGGCTTTATGAACATCCTGAATTCGGTATACCCAGACATCCAGTTCACCATGGAAGAGGAACACCAGGGCAGTTTAGCGTTTTTAGATGTGTTAGTACAGCGCCAGGTGGACGGATGTCTGACTACCAGGGTATACCGAAAACCCACATGTACAGACAGGATGTTACACTTTGAGAGCAATCACCCCATGGCTCATAAAGCCAGCTGTGTCAGGACCTTATTCAAGCGAGTGGAGTCGCACTGCAGCACTGCCAGAGCCAAGAGGGAGGAGAGAAATTATCTCTTCCGGGTGTGTAAACACAATGGGTACCCGGCCAAATTTATCAATCGGTTCAACAAACCATCTGGACCCCGGAGTGACCCCACACCCCAAAGACTTACATCCCAAGTAACCACACGTATTACTCTCCCCTATATCCACAACGTCTCAGAGGCCACTGCAAGGATTTTAGCACCGCACAAGATACAAGTGGCCCATAGACCCAACCAAACACTGCGGGCAGCTGTAATGCGCCCAAAGGACCCGCTCCCCAACACTGAAAGGTCGGCAGCCATTTATAAGATCAATTGTATGGACTGCCGATCCAACTATGTTGGGGAGACAGCCAAACGGATTAAAACCAGGGTCCACGAGCATAAGTTAGCAGTAAGAAGGGGAGATCCACATTCTCAAATATGGGCACACATGGCGGAATTAGATCACAAATTTAATTTCAGTGAGGTCAGCGTATTGGCTAGCGACAATACCAAGGGGGGCCGCCTACTTAAGGAGGCATGGCTCTCGGATGACAATTCTATTAACCGGCATGTGGACCTGTGCCCGGCATATATGGCTTTAAGGCTGTGGATCACTAGTAATCAAGGACAGCACCCCCGACGTTCCAATAATAACTCTAATGGCATTAAGGAAGATATAGATACTCGAAATGTGGTGACCAATACTAAGGAAGACATCGCGGTTGGAGGAGGGGGGAGACCCTTAGATATGGCAACCCACCTGCATATGGAAGGAAATGTGCCAGTCATTTCAGAAAGAAAAGAGAGAGCCCCCCGCTGGATCAAGGGGACCAAGTTAGGAGAGAGGAAACCGCAAGAAGGAGAAAGAACTCAAGAGATCAAGCCACCGTTCCCCCCGCTTGCGTATCCCGGAGAGCTTCGGAGGATCCGCATGACCACCGACGACGCAGGGAGGAGGAGACAAGCCGAGGAAAGACGCTACAAAGATCAAACAGATCGCGACTCTATCGCTAACCTTCCCCCCGGATCGATCACTCACAGCAGGAGACGCGCCGGACAGCTGGGGGTAGCGACGAGCGGGGAGCCTCCGCCCCTCTCCACCCACGACCGAATGGCTTGCCCTTCGGCTTTGGACTGCCGACGAACTATATCTATTTGGGAGGGGCGTGTGAGATCACCTGGACGATACCTACCCCAAGAGGAAGAGCGAAGGCATGCCCCCACCGCTACCCTCTCTGGACCGCCCAAACAGGGCGCAGCGCGCACAAAGCGACTACACACAGGGACAATTGAAGAATCACTACTCCCCCCTCCACATTCGAAAGGTCCCCCCCTCCAGCCCCAGACCGTTAACGAATTACAACTACCTCGAAAGGACCTATGTGATCACTTAAATGATACCTGTATAAGAAACAAAAATACCAAAATTCAACAACAAAAAACTTGCCATAGGAAGAACGATGGAACGAAGGAGGACTGTAAAAGAAACACGAAATGCACACTGCCATCTACCCCCGAGGGAAAAGAGCTCAAACATAGAGACTGTTGCAACCATAGAGACATTTGCCCGCCCACCTCAAGATTGAGGGAGAGAAGGATGGAGGAGGATGAACGGGCGGTTGAGATGAATAGAAAGGAACAGACCAGCCGCACGCAGTTATCCTATTTAGGCCCGATGACGAGGTCGAGGAGTCGTGCGCAGACCTCACCACACCTATAAGAATGACCCTCCCACTCCCTGGCGCACTAGCCCTGAGGATGCCGGCAGGTGACGGCGAAAGCTAGGCGCTTTTTAATAAATTTTATAGTTTTATTACCCTGGTGATCATTTTATTTCCTATCATGAACACTCCCAGGGTTCACGTTTTTAATTTTCTTAAACGCATATATATATATATATATATATATATATATATATATATATATATATATATATATATCTGCTACACCATCTAAAAATTACCGTATTTCCAAGGCCTTAAGTCATATATGTGATTCTTTTTCTTTTATGTATTTGTGTATTATTGCATAGACATGTACACCCTGATAATATTGTGTGTGTTTGATGCTCACAATAAGACTTTGATTCTTGGTGATACTAAATTTGTGTGTATACAGTATGTACAAGTGTATACACACATAAGATAGATACATATACTTATATACATATAAAC